CCAAGACAGATAAAATCTGAACAGCTTCAGGAGAAATTTGATCTGATTCAGAAGCATGAACAGCCATGCAGAGTTCAGACAGGAGAAGGTGTATCAGTTGATGGGCAGCAAAATGGAGATGTACTTACTGGTGGCCATCCCTATGGAATGAAGGACTTACTGATATTAAAATAAAAGGCACAACTTTAGAATTATAATCTCAACACATGAACGTGTTCAAATTAACACTACAACTGTATCAAAGCATGGAACATCCAGAAAGCCACTCAGACTATTAAAACAAGAACCCTGCTGCCCAGAAAGGGTTTTACTGCCCTTTCAAAATACCTCCTCCCTTCCCAGGGATGTTACCTACAGGAAGCATTAGAAACATTTAATGGAGAAAGACTCCAATTCTTTATCCTTCACTCCATTTTCCAGTCCTAGTATCTCTTTCATAAATGGTGATCACTGCTGACAGAGCTTCATTCTGCAGGCACCAATTTTCATAGAATCACAGAATAGTTTGGGTTGGAAGGGACCTTCAAGATCATCAGGTTCCAACCCCCTGCATGGGCAGGGACACCTCCCAGCAGCCCAGGCTGCTCCAAGCCCCATCCAACCTGCCCTTCAACACTGCCAGGGATGGGGCAGCCACAGCTTCTCTGGCAGCCTGGGCCAGCGCCTTCCTGCCCTCACGGGGAAGAATTTCTTCCTGATGTCTGACCTCAATCAATCTTACAGCTTGAAACCATCACCTCCTGTGCTCTCACTGCCCTGTCTGTTGGAAAGCCCCTCCCTAGCTTTCCTGGAGCCCCTTCAGGGGCTTTCCTTCAGGCTTTCTGGTCTGCAGGTGCACATTGCCAGCTCATGTTGAGCTTCTGTCAGTTCACAGGGTGATAGATATGAAACCATGCAATCAACATGATTTTTTTTGAGAAGGGAAAGCATCTTTCAAAAAGAGATCCTGAAAGAGTCAATGAACCTGAGGATAAAGGTGATTCCCCTGATTTAATGTCTTGAATTTGCCAGGAGCTCTCAGCAAACTTCCCACTCAGTGTCTGCTTACGTAAATGAACAACGTTGCTGCAGGTTGGGCACTGAGGGTTTTCTCAGAGATTAAAAACTGATGAAGAGATACAGAAGATAGGGGATTAAAGTAAATATTTGGGGTTTATAACAGAAGGAGGCTTGCTAGCAAATCCTGGTTTCTCTTACTTATCTCCTCCTGAAATACATGTGGGAACCATGTTGAAAGTACTGAGAAAATTATTATTTTATTTATAATAATGGTTTAACATAAACAATATGGAGAAGGACCTGAAGAGAGAGGTGATGATTTGAAAGTGAAGCAGTATAAGCTTAAGAGTCAGAGGTGTAGAAAGATCTTGACAAGTTTGCATGAGCTGGCAAGAAAATAGCACATGAAGTATATGTTAAAAGGAGAAAAGCAGTCAATTGGGAGAGTTGCTCTGGAGCCCTCAGCAGAGGAGAGACATGGAGCTGTTGGGAGAGGGGCCATGGAGATGCTGGGAGGGCTGCAGCAGCTCTGCTCTGGAGCCAGGCTGGGAGAGTTGGGGTGTTCAGCCTGGAGAAGAGAAGGCTCCAGGGAGACCTGAGAGCAGCTTCCAGGGCCTGAAGGGGCTCCAGGAAAGCTGGGGAGGGGCTTGGGACAAGGGCAGGGAGGGATGGGAGCAGGGGGAAGGGTTTCCAGCTGGCAGAGGGAGCTGGAGCTGAGATGGGAGGGAGAAATTCTGGGCTGTGAGGGTGGGGAGAGCCTGGCCCAGGTTGCCCAGAGAAGCTGTGGCTGCCCCATCCCTGGCAGTGTTGAAGGGCAGGTTGGATGGGGCTTGAAGCAGCCTGGGCTGCTGGGAGGTGTCCCTGCCCATGCAGGGGGTTGCAACTAGATGATCCTTTTTTAAGGTCTCTACCAACCCAAACCATTCCAAGACCTATGACTCCATTCATCACTGCGCTGGCTTTATCACCCTGCCTGGTAGGGAAGTCAGATTTTTCCATCTATAATTCACAGGGCTCCTTCTGGAGCCCTTCTCAAAGGTTGGGACACACCTTTTTTGCTCTCTGTTGGCACGGAGGTTTTAGCACCACATTACACACTGTTGTCTATATTTAAGCAGTTTCACATTTGATTTCACATTCGAGCTCTTGGAGGGATGCAGCTGGAGCCACTGAGACACCTGATCTACCTGTGGGTTTCCCCCACTTCTTCTAAAATGCCTTCAGTTGCCATTTCCATTTGAGACTTTGCCTTTGACTTATCCTCTCCCTTGCTCCAGAGAATGACCCTGCTGCAAGGACACGTGGGTGTGCTCCCACATATTTTTTGGTCATCAAGAAGAGTTAAAAAAATCCAAATTTACAGTTCTTAATTAAGAGTCCAGTTGTTTACCAGGCCAGGAGATTCAACTACTATAAATACCTGAGAGCTGCAGAAAAAAGAAGCCTAAATGTTATCCTTTCCTTCCAAAGGAATTTGGCTCAATGAAAGGACTTGCAACTTAAATTTTCAGTAAACCACAGTTATTTATGTAGAAGAATAGGCTGCACAGAGAGGTTCCATATCAAAAACAGCTTCACTTTGAAAAAAGCTTCCAAACAAGTTCAAGAAAAGAATCATAGAAACACAGACTAATTTGGGATGGAAGGGACCTTAAGATCATCTAGATCCAACCCCCTGCATGGGCAGGGACACCTCCCAGCAGCCCAGGCTGCTCCAAGCCCCATCCAACCTGCCCTTCAACACTGCCAGGGATGGGGCAGCCACAGCTTCTCTGGGCAACCTGGGCCAGGCTCTCCCCACCCTCACAGCCCAGAATTTCTCCCTCCCATCTCAGCTCCAGCTCCCTCTGCCAGCTGGAAACCCTTCCCCCTGCTCCCATCCCTCCCTGCTCTTGTCCCAAGCCCCTCCCCAGCTTTCCTGGAGCCCCTTCAGGCCCTGGAAGCTGCTCTCAGCTCTCCCTGGAGCCTTCTCTTCTCCAGGCTGAACACCCCAACTCTCCCAGCCTGGCTCCAGAGCAGAGCTGCTCCAGCCCTTCCAGCATCTCCGTGGCCTCGTCTGGACTCTCTCCAGCAGGTCCATGTCCTTCTTGTCTTGGCAGGCTCCAGAACTGCACCCAGCCCTGCACAGGGGTTGGTCTCACAAATATACTGGATAAGAAGAAGCCCAGTAACTGGGTAAAGAAACCACCAGAGGCCAGCAGCAACTTCACGAGCTGGACCCTGTGCCCACTTCCCATCTACAGACAACAGCCCATGTGCAGAGGAACAGCACCAACACAACCTTCTTCTCCCTCATTATATTTTTCAGTCTTTCAAGACTGATCCATCAGTTTTTAGTTTGCTGTTTTACTGCAAGACAGATAAACCCCACATTCCTGGGGTACCCACAGGTTTCTAAGCCCCCATCATGCAAAAGACAGAAATTGATGGAAACTCTTAAGGGATGAAGATCCTGCCCAGCTCACTATGAGCTTAGTTTGTAACACACAGAAAATGTAGCCAGACATGGAGAGGAAACCAGAATCCCTGGGCAGGGGTTATGTTACCATGCCCTGAGACAAGAGCAGCCACAACCTACCAAAGCCTGTCACCATTTACCTGGGGTTTTTGCTCATTTTTTAATGTCCTTTTTGGGGTTGTTTTTTTGGAGGGGTGAATATTCAATTCACTTCTGGAATTACTTCCAAGTAAGAGCATGAGCTGATGACAGCCAAGCACACAAGTAAGCATGGAATTATCTCATGTAAGCATCCATTAATAATTTTATCTCCAGTATTATAAGGAAATTCTTACTTTATAACCACTTCCATATACTGAACATTTAGTCAGCACAACTATTCATGTTTCAGAATGGAAAAGCACAACCACACACACACAGAGCCAAGCCAGGGTTGCTGCCACCAGGACTATCAGCCCTGCATTTCCCCTGAGATACCAGATCAGATTAACCTTTCAGGAAGTCAGACACACAGTATATCAATGAATTTATAACACAGGCTGGGATTTACTCTAGGAAGCACACACATATTGCTGGAGGAGGGGTGAACTTGGTCAAGATAGAATGGAATGACCTACAAGAATCCCTTGGAGGCCTCATTTGGTGCTCTCATTTTTTAACTTTATCTGCTTCTCATATAGATATTTCCCCTCCCCCCATATGCAAAGCCAGGCTGATAACACAGTATTATAATAGTGATAGCTCTTCAATAATGCAATTTTAAATGGAAAGTACAGTCTTCTGAGTTGCCATGTCTGATTCTCTCACCTGGAAACAGTTTATAGATAGTAAATTCAAATCAGCTTTGAAAATGTCAATCTACGAAATGCAACCTCATCAAGTGTGAATTAGCTTTAAATGGTTGATTTAAAAATTTATCTGTAACTACTGAATCCTGAGACACGTGAACAGTGAACATTTAAGCAACTCTAGGCTGATATTAAAAAAAAACCCTATGAGCAACCACATTTGAACTTTTAAAGTATGTTCTTTCCTGTGAGTTCAAGTACCTACTCTTGCCTAAACTTGGGCAGCTGCCCCGTGTGAGAACAGCAAGGCTGATTTGCTGGTCTCTAAAATTCATAGCTAGAAACCAAGAGTTCATTACTATATTTTCATTAATCATCACATAAAGAAATGTTCTGGTCAGAGAATTTGATTTAAAAAAACTAAACTAAAACTAAAAAAAAAAAGAGAACTAAAAAAAATCTCCAGCTTCTTTAGGTCAACAGGTCTTGGTGTCACACACTTGATTCCTTCACCTGAGGGTGTTATCCAGGAAAAATAAGTGAATTAAAAAGTAAAGGGGACTGCTTAGCTTTGCACCCTGACAAATGGGCACAGTACTGGAGGATCTAACTACTGCACTGTGCTCTAATCTAATGCTGCACACTGAAAAGTCAACACTGCAGTCCCAAAACAACCCCAGATCCTGTCCTTGACTCCTTCTGCATCCCACGTTTTCACCCTTCCCAACTCCCCTACACAAATTAAACTTCCTTACCTTCATAATGTTGACTAAGTCTGTTTGATAGTAACGATCTTGGTGAGCATTAGCAGCTGCCAAAGTGAGCAGGTAATCATTCCTTGCATGGATTGCCTTGGAATTGCACTCGGACCGTCGTGCTTTTAACTACAACAAGAAATGGAAGTTAAAAGACAAGTGCTCAGGAGATGTTAAATGACCAAATATGGATTAACAGTGAATTAACATGTATATGTAGGTATTAGTATAGTCAAAACTTTGAGGGATTACTAGCTTAACAGATTTGTTAATGCCAAGGGATTTCAAATGTATCTTTTTTGTCATTCAATTGTACTTTTAGTATCTGGTCTTTGACAACAGTTATAATGAGGAAAAAATTCCTAGAAAAAATTTCCTGGCAAATTTCCAGTAGAAAAAAAATGCCTTGGAAATTTGGCCAGAAGTAATTCTGCACTGACTGCATCAGGAGCACTCTTATCCATTGTTCTAACAACAAACCTTCCAACGTGTCAATCACCTCTACATTCCAAACAACTTTGCTCATCCACCTCATGAAAAGAGCTGCAAAGCACCATTGTAAGAAACCTGAAAGTTGTTGGTTTTTTTTATACTCACCTTTACACTTGCCTTCTGCAGGCTTATTCTGGACTGGAAAAGACTAAGTTTGGACCTAAAATAAAAATTAAAAGAAGAGATTAATGTATTGGACAGTTCTACGAAACTTTTTATGTCTAAATTGCAGGAAAAGAAGTGTGGCCAGCAGGGCCAGGGAGGGGATTCTGCCCCTCTACTCTGATCTGCTGAGACCCTCCTGGAGTGTTGTGTCCAGCTCTGGAGCCCCCAGCACAGGAGAGACATGGAGCTGTTGGAGAGGGGCCAGAGAAGGGCCATGGAGATGCTGGGAGGGCTAGAGCAGCTGTTCTCTGGAGCCAGGCTGGGAGAGTTGGGGTGTTCAGCCTGGAGAAGAGAAGGCTCCAGGGAGACCTGAGAGCAGCTTCCAGTGCCTGAAGGGGCTCCAGGAAAGCTGGGGAGGGGATTTTCAACAGAGGGGGCAGTGACAGGACAAGGGGTGATGGTTTTAAACTGCAAGAGGGGAGATTGAGGTCAGACATCAGGAAGAAATTCTTCCCCATGAGGGCAGGAAGGCACTGGAACAGGTTGCCCAGGGAAGCTGTGGCTGCCCCCTCCCTGGAGGTGTTGAAGGGCAGGTTGGATGAGGCTTGTGCAGCCTGGGCTGGTGGGAGGTGTCCCTGCCCATGCAGGGGAGTTGGAACCTTTAAGGTCCCTTCCAACCTTCACCATTCTATGATTCTATAATTTTTTCTTGTACAGTAAAGCTTAAGGATCAAGAGAAATATTCCCAAGTATGCTGAGCTCCAGCAATAGCATCTTCTGCACCGTCTGAAATGTTCTGCAGAGCTTCTCCTGATTTGGGAACAATATATAAATACATCATGAAAGGGAAACTGGGTGACAGCTGCAGTTCAAGTTATTTTGGTGTTTGATGGATTTTGAGGTAGCTCTTCAGACACGAAGTGCTATAAATTTGAACGCCTGGTTATCTGAAGGAATATTAATGCAAAATTGCTAATTATACTCCAGGAAGCTGGAGGAGCATCCATGTACACACATGTATTTTTAAAAGCAGCATTGGACCAAATTTCACATTTGGATTCCTGAAAGAGGAATTAGAGAAGGATTTAGTGGCAATTTGGAAAATGGTGTTTCAAAAACTAAATAAGAAACTAAAATCAACTTTAATATTAATGTCTATAAATATCTGAGGGGTGGGTGTCAAGAGGAAGGGGCCACTCTCTTCCTGGTGGTGCCCAGGAACAGGAACAACGGGTATAAGGTAGAACATAGAGAGTTCCATCTCAACATGAGGAAGAAGTTCTTTCCTGTGAGGGTGACAGAGCCCTGGGACAGGCTGCCCAGACAGGCTGTGGAGTCTCCTTCTCTGGAGACATTCCAACCCACCTGGACATGTTCCTATGGGATCTACTGTAGGTGACCCTGCTCTGGCATGGGGGATGGACCTGATGATCTCTAGAGGTCCCTTCCAATCATTAACATTTTATGATACTATGATTCTTCAGGTGATTACAGATAATCTTATTTTAAGTTCTTTTCATCATCCAACCCTCAAATAGAAGACAGAAAAGTTCTCTAACAAAACCATAACTTCCTTTCATCCTCTGAGAACAATTCTGAGTCACTTCTAAACATAAAAAAGTAAACAAATTTGGGGGAAAAAAAAAAAAAAGGTGATGCAACCTCACATAGGACAGGCCGAAATCCAAATCATGTGATCTACTTGCTTTCCTGAAAGGAAGGAAATCAACCTCTTTAGGTTGTCAAGGAGCATAAAAGCCTAAAGCCTCCAAAATTTCTCTTCAGAAATTGAAAACAGGGTCCCATCCCATCCCCCTCCAAAGGGATTGATACCAAAGTGAGATGTGTGCAGAGAAAAGGAAGCAGCCTCCAATATAACCTCTGAAAAGGTCAAATTAAAACAGTTTAACTCCCCTTGTAAAGAAAGCAGCCAAAATGAGTTGAACTTGACTATCACCTTAAAGCATGTTTGAAATGGCCACAAAAATGTACATAATAAGCAAAAAAACCAATTGACACAAGCTCATTGCAAGCAATTATCTTCCTAAAATAATATCAAGTGTAGAAACTAATACCAGGACACAGGCAATTATTTATACATATGCTATTATAAAAACATACTTGGCCTCAATATCAGCTTTCTCCCGCACTGCTTGAGCCATCTGTTCAGTCTCAAAATATTTCTTTTTGCCTTTAGCTAAATCTTTCACTGTCTCCTGTAATTCAGCTTGGATCCTTGTCAACTGGTCCACGCACTGAAAAGAAGCAGTCAGGAAACAAAACATTAATAAGGGGGTTTTTTGCAACCAAATAATAGGATCATCTTAATTTCACTCCTCTTTATTATGTTTTATATAAAATCATAGAACATTTGGAACAGATGAGAAGAGAAGGTTTCAGGGAGACCTTATCACCATGTTCCAGTCCTTAAAGGGTGGCTCCCAGGAAGATGGAGACTCCCTATTGACAAGGAGTCCCATGGAAAAGACAAGGGGTCATGGGCACAAGTTGCTCCTGGGGAGATTCCCATTGGACACAAGAGGGAAATGTTTCCCCATCAGGACAGTCCAACATTGGAACAGTCTCCCAAGGGAAGTGGTGGATTCCCCCACATGAGGCAGTTTGAATTCTCAGCTCGACAGGGTGCTGAGCCACCTCCTATCAACTGGAGTAGGACCTGGGAAGGCTGGACCAGATGGTCCTTGAGGTCCCTTCCAACCTGGCATTCTGGGATTCTAAGAACAATGTGGTCTCCAAGTCACTCCTGGTCAACAGTTCTTGCCTTTCTTTTAAAGCTGATCAGAATATAAAACCATATTTCTTTCTTGCTGCTGCTGTTCATTCAAATTCAATGATTAAGATTAGATCAGATATTGGAACAGACTGCCCAGGGCAGTGGTGGAGTCCCCATCCCTGGAGGTGTTCAAGGACAGGCTGGATGTGGCACTTGGTGCCCTGGTCTGGAGATGTGGTGGTGTTGGGTCATGGGTTGGACTTGATGATCTCAGAGGTCTTTTCCAGCCTTGGTGATTCTGTGACTCTGTGTGCTAACTCACAAATGAAACATAAAATTTCCAAAAGTTTTGGGTAAGTTAATTAATTAGCTGAAAGAGCTCGAATACAGCTGGGAAAAATCTCAAGGCAATCTGCTGGAGGTGACTAAAAATATGATTAGGTTTTCCTTCTCCAAAGTTTAAAGCACAAGAGAAAAGTTACCATGTAAGAAACAATGGAAACAAGAACAGTTTGATAAACATTATTTTAAGAACTCATTTTTTCCTAAAACTCTTGAGAGCTTTCCAACAAATGGGGTTATCTCAGAAATCAGTGTCAGTCACAAAGGAAACTGAAAGGTTTAAAATGCATAGCAAGCCCTGGGTGTTCCTGCTGCAGCAGGGAGGTTGGACTTGATGATCTTCAGAGGTCCCTTCCAGGCCCTATGAATCTGTGATTCTATGATCCAAGCCACTCAAGGACTGAAAACAGAATCATAGAATCCTTTGGGCTGGAAAAGATCTTTAAGATCATTAAGTCCAACCATTAATAACATAAATAACTAGTAAAATAATTCAATTTGTTTTCCATACAACCCAAGCAGCCTTAGAAGATACATTTTAATGTCAAAAAATAATATTCAAAGCAATAGTAGAAAAATGACTATACTGGTCATTACACTCCCAAGTCACTGTAACACCTGATGCCTGGTTTCCTGGAGATGTGTGAACACCTGCCCACCCATGGGAAGGAGTGAATTTATTCCCTATTTTGCTTTACCTAATAAACTGTGCCCCCCTTTGAGGGTGGTGAGACACTGGAAGAGCTTGTCTAGGGAAGCTGTGGCTGCCCCATCCCTGGCAGTGCTCAAGGGCAGGTTGGATGGGGCTTGGAGCAGCCTGGGCTGCTGGGAGGTGTCTCTGCCCATGCAGGAGTTGGGCCTGGATGATCTTTCAGGTCCTTTCCAACCCAAACCAGTTTGTGATTCTGTGGTTTTGTGTAACCCCCAAACTCCTGCACTTTTACCCTTCCAATTCTCTTCCCCATCCCACTTGAGGGGAGTGAGAGAACAGCTGCATGAGGCTCAAATGCTGACCATGGTGAACCCACAATTACTGGTCTGTTCAGCAATTCTCCAAACATCCAATCAGCTTCCAAAAAAAATCTCTGGGAAAGGATCTACATCAAGCAGAAAGGTTCTATTTAACAACATAAAAGTGAATTCTCAATGTCTAGAATGATATTGTCTTTCCAAGAGATTTGTAAAGATTTTCTTTTACTCAAACTAGGTTAAGTACAAGTACAGGTGATAATTCAATGCATTTCTATTTAATGACAGATATGACAGACTAGATGTGGTCAGTGAAGGCTCCAGGCAACACTCAGAGGCAGAGCCTCAAGCAAGCTTAAGGAAATCAACTTACCCTTCAATCTGCCTTTCTGTCCTTCAAAGACCAGACCCAAGATTCCACCTCTTTCCACATCATCATCACACACCCAGCTTCTCCCATTTGAGGTGCCACACATTGTCCTCTTACTGACCACCCCACCTAAATACCTGAAGTTCTAATTACACTAATTATTAATGCATGTAATCTCTTTGACAAGCATTGCAAGACTCATAAAGTGATGGAATCCAACAATGTGACATTAATGCCACAGCATCCAACAGCTCTTAAAAAGAATATCCAGCCACTTGTAAAGAAGGATTTTTTTGTTTCAGACAACACCAAATTGCTTGTTTTCTCACCACACAACCCTGCTCTCCTTCTGGCTATATAAAGCACACAAAAATTCATTAACTTCACCCTCAAACCAGTACTTGATGTGTGCAGACCAAGAAAGCAATGGGCTCCAGAAGATAAGCTTGGTGGTGGGTGGTTTGGGGAGTGGCAGAGAGCAGGGCTGGGTTTTCTGGAGACCTCTGAGGGTATGAGAGAAAATCCAAAGGTAGAAAAATCTGTCTCTATTGGACAGCTGACAGAAACCAAAAATCATTTCAAAAGGAGTGGGTTCTTGCTACATCCATTGCTATTTTGATCCCTGAAGTCTCCTGCCTGCAGCATCAAAACATTCAAATAAAGCCAGCTGTTAACATGATCCTTCTAAAAGCATAAAATATAACCTAGCTTTTGCATCTCTAAGCACCAAAAATTGCCACGAGACTTGAGGCCATGGAGGGGCCTGGGGTTGTGCAGACACTGGTTGTACCTAAAAAGCTGTTTCAGCTGAGGTGCTGGAACAGGTTTCCCAGGGAAGCTGTGGCTGACCCCTTCCTGGAGATGTTCAAGGGCAGGTTGGATGGGGTTTGTGCAGCCTGGTCTGATGGGAGGTGTCCCTGCTCATGGCAGGGGGGTTGGAACCTGATGCTCTTTAAGGTCCCTTCCAACCCAAACCATTCTGTGATTCCATGATCCAGAGAGCTGACAGAGATGGCTCTTGTTGCTCTACCTCCATGGAGGGTGATTTCATCCTATTTGTCTCCCAGTCTCCTAATACAGATCATTGCAAATGTCTGCAGTGGTGGCCACATCATCTTTCCTGAAGACACCTGATGAACGCCCAGTGCCTTCTCTTCCAAGGCAACTCATGGAACAACACATCACTTACAAGTGATGACTTATAGCTTACAAGGTCTCCAGGGAAGGACAATGGCCATGGGTGGGCTGCTGCCCTCCCAACAGCCTTATAGTCTGCATCCAAAAGCTACTGAGCAAAGGATGGGGATTAGTTTCCATAAGAGGTCAGACCTGGTCTACAGGAGACACATTTACGACCGCTGCTCCAGAGTCGCCTTGATATTAAGCAGCATTGTTCAGCAAACTGTGGTGAGGTTTTCTGAAATTGTTCTGGTTTAGTATTAAAATGGTCATGGAAATGAAGCTTCTATGTGGTACCAAGTCAATGAAGTAAAGGTTTACAGAGACAACTGGAAAACCTAGATCAGAGAATCATTTTGGTTGGAAAAGACCTTTAAGATCATCAAGTCCAACTGTTCCCCCAGCCCTGCCAAGGCCACCCCTGCCCCGTGTCCCTCAGCATCATCTACAGGGCTTGGAAACCCATCCTGGGATAGGGACTCCACCCCTGCCATGGGCAGCCTGGGCCAGGGCCTGACAACCCTTGCCAGGGAGAAATTGTTCCCAAGATCCAACCTCAACCTCCTCTGCTGCTACTCTTGTCCTATCACCTTGTGTCATCTGCAAACTGACTGAGGCTACACCCAATCTGTCCAGATCACTGATAAAGAGAACTGGCCTCAACTCTGAGTCCTAGGGAACACCATGGTGACCCACCACCAACTGGATTTAGCTCCATTCACCACAGCTCCTTGGGCCCAGCCACCCAGCCAGTTTTTTACCCAACAAAGTGCACACCCATCCAAGCCAGTTTCTCCAGGAGGATGCTGTGGCAAACAGCTTGAAACGCTTTACTAATGTCTAGGCTTTCCCCTCATCCTTTAGGCAGGTCACCTTGTCACAGAAGGAGATCAGGTTAGTCAAGCAGAACCTGCCTTTGATAAACCTGTGCTGACTGGGCTTGATTGTCTTTTTGTCCTGCATGATGGCACTTGAGATGATCTGCTCCATGACCTTCACCAGCACTGAGGTCAGACTGACAGGCCTGACATCTGAGAGCAACCCAATACCTACTGCAACCTTGGAAGGAGAAACTGCTTCTAAATAGAAACTCGACTTGGGCAATCCAGGATAACATTACAAGTATTTTCCTGAGTCTGAATTCTCATTTTTCCAAGCTTTTGGAGGTCAGCTCAACAAAGAATGTGCTTGGAAATCCAAGGAAAAGGATGAGAGGCTGTATAAAAACATAAGTTCATTGTGGAGGCAATTTAATAGCACCAAGTGGGTGGTGATTCCACATGGTAGAAGAAGCATGTCACTGTTAGAATGTCTTGAACCAGAAATACTGCCCTGATAATTGTAGCAATTCATTCTGCTAACTCAAAAGAGCAGGAAAAAAAGGCACCTTTGTCATTTATATCAATTTGAAGAAGCGTTTCACCACTTCTACTGCTGCCTCATGAACACTGAACTGTCGCTCAGGGCTCAGGTTTGAGGACAGTCTTGTTCAACATCTTTGTCAATGATCTGGACTAGGGGATTGAGGGGACCCTCAGGCAATTTGCAGATGACACCAAGTTGTGTGAGACTGTCGATCTGTTGGAGGTCAGGGAGGCTCTGCAGAGGGACCTGGACAGGCTGGATCCATGGGCCAAGGCCAATGGGATGAGGTTCAACAA